GTTATACCCAAATCTTTTATAGACTCACCAGCAGATTCAAGGAGTACACCAGATATAGAATAGTTAAAACTAATAGGGCAACTAAGAGAGCGATAAAAAGCCATAAAAGAGCATTTAGGGATACAGAGATCCAACCCATGGGTTGCAGCCCAGGTGACCAAGGAGTTGAGGTCATCTTGAAGAAGGATGCAATCCTGAGGGGTACTGATACGATGGAACAACTTTATATCATCGGCAAACATGAGTAATTGGCAGTGTTTTAGGACACTTTTAAGTTTTAACACTGTTGACAAATAAAGAGAAGAGGACCGGAGACAAGTGGCCTCCTTGAGGGACACCTGACGTTATATTTACTGGTTCAGAGCAAACACCGTTAATTTTTACATATTGTATTCTATTGGAAAGATACGATCTGAACCAAGATATTAACGGTTCCCCAAAACCTACTGATTTTAGTATCGTTATAAGAGCAGAGTGATTAACACGGTCGAACGCTTTGGCGAAGTCCGTATAAATCACGTCTACTTGAGAGTGATCACGGAACGCATCCATGACATACTCTGAGAATATGGTATTACATGTAGTGGTTGAGCGCCCTGGCCTAAAACCGTGCTGCTCATCAATTAAAATACAACTAACTGGACGTGAGATACTACTTAAAACAATGGATTCCATTAGCTTAGCTAAATGGCTAATAATAGAAATCGGTCTGTAGTTCGAAACATCTATAGTGTCACCTGATTTAAAAATTGGTGTCACTGAGCTGATTTTCCAGATATCTGGAAATAAACCTTCACATAGTGATTTACTTATCACAAGAAATAGTGGGTAACACAGAGATGCTCTTATAGAGTAAAGAAAATAACCTGAGAGACCGTCAGGGCCGACTGATTTTATATTCCGTAGCTTTCTAAGACGTATTAAGACATCGTCTAGGCTCACAAGACAAGTAGATGGGAGCTCATGACTCATGAGGTAGTCCATTCTCTACGAGATCATCTAAATTGATTGCTGTTGAAGAGTACACGGAACTAAAGTGAGAGGAGAACATCTCGCACATACTGGCTCTATCGTTACTAAAAGCATTACCAAGCTTAACTGTTGCGGGTATTGTGTTTCCACTTTTGGTTTTACGAACAAAATCCCAAAATGCCTTTGGGTTTTTTATGAATGAGGACTCAGTCTTTTCGATATACTTGGAGTGACATTTCCTAGATAAAAACTTGCATTGAGCACGTAAATTTGAGAAACGAGAGTAATCAATTGGACTTTGCGTTGATCTGTAAAGAGCATGAGCCTTTCTTTTTAATTGCACAGTATTCTTTAGCTGGTTAGAAAACCATATCGGAAATTTAGATTTTTTGTAGTTAACTTGTGGAACAAAGTTTAGGACACAATAATGAAGGGCATCGTATAGTGTAGATGCCGCATCATTAGCAGATAGGGGTGAAAGTGTATCAGTCCAATTAAATGACTTCAGGAACTCATTAATTCGAATGAAATCGGATTTATTAAAATTAAAGAAAACATGAGAAGGATCGGAACCAGCAAGAAGAACTGAAGCAGCAGATTCGAAGACAAGAGTTGGATGATAATGGTCTTCAGGTACAACATGTTCATCAGCCTTCTTTACAACTATGTCACCTTTGTTGCTAAATACTAGATCTAAGATGGTTTTATAACGATTTGGAACATTATTTAATTGGTAGAAGTTGAGAAAAGAAAAACATTCAGGGACGCAGGGAACACGGATGTGTGATGATGTAGAGTAAGTAACCCCATACGTATCATTAGACCAGGTAATATTGGGAAGATTGAAGTCGCCACAAATTATAAATATACATCCAGTATTGTGACTTACCACATTTTCGACTTCGGTTGTAAACAATTCATAGGAGGTAACAGGTGAGTTAGGAGGAAAGTAGACGCAGCATAAAATGTAAACGGTATTTAAGAAGTTAACCTTGACGAAGACGTGTTCACCACCAAAGGAATGTATAGGGAGAGTATGCGCAGGAACATTGGAGAGATTATTGATACAAATAATTTATTATTGACTACTCCGTCCAAAGTAACAGCAAGAAGGCCTTTATTTTCTCCTAAAACAAAAAGTAAACATACAAGTGAACCTTTAACACCTAGGAAAATTGAGTTAAAAAAAAAAAAAAAAATTGTTACAACAAGGAATAAGACGAAGGGATAAAAAAATAAATAACTTAAAAAGCTTATTACAAAATATGCGTTCTAAAGGTTTGATCGAAGAACAATGTGAGCAATTAGGTATTAATTGATCAATTTGAAGGTACATCCCAAGAAATTTTTTGCAACGATCTCAAAAACAATGGTAAAAGACCAACAGGGTATAGATACTCTAAACAGCTTAAAGAGTTTGCTGCTGCGCTTCATTATTATTCACCTAAAGCTCTTAAATATTGCAGGTATTATATTTTTTGCTATCACAAATTATTTTGCTAAAATACATGCTTTGCACTTAATTTACAATCAAATCATTTTTTAATTTTTTTTTCCTATTTAATATAATATTGTTTTAGAACATTTTTGAAATTGGCAAATCAATTCTTAACTGGATTTTAAGCATTAATGGCGAGCCAGGTTTTTTCAAAGAAGTTTTTGATGCACTTCAAACCATGAGTCCAGATGACAGACACTGTAATCTAATTTTTGATGCCATGTCTATAAAAAAAAACAGATTTCATGGGATGAAAGACTGGGTAAGTTTATTGGATACTGTGATTATGGCAATGCATTTGAACTTGAGAGATCTGAAACACCAGCTACTGAGGCATTAGTATTTATGTTGACCAGTATTAATGGAAAGTGGAAATTACCAATTGGGTATGTTTTTCAAAATAAAATAACTGCTTCTATTCAAGCTGAACTAATTAAATCAGCCTTTACTCATGCTCATAATGCCGGGTTGACTGTCTGGAGTGTAACGTGTGATGGGGCCTATACAAATGTCTCTACTTTAAAACTTTTAGGATGCAAAATAGGCAATAACTATGATGATATTGAAAGTTGGTTTGAGCATCCAGTAACTAGATCTAAAGTATATTATATTCCGGACGCATGTCACATGTTAAAATTAGCCCGGAACATTTTAGCTAATAATTATGTATTAGAATCTGATACTGGTTACATTAGATGGGACCATATCAGAAATCTATTTAAGGTTCAAAAGATTTAACATTAAAATTAGCTAATAAATTGAGTATGGCCCATGTTAACTGGCACAATAATAAAATGCGAGTCCAGTATGCTGCCCAGACCCTGAGCTCATCTACAGCAGATTCCTTAGAATATCTAAAAAAATATTAACTTCCCTGGTTTTGAGAATGGTCTTTTCAGCGATTTAAACTAAGAATAGGATTAAACCATGGTCCAGTCATTGCTGGTGTGGTAGGTGCCCAAAAACCACAGTACGACATCTGGGGCAATACCGTGAACGTTGCGTCTCGGATGGACAGTTGCGGGATTATGGGCAGAATTCAGGTATGCATATTATTACAGGACAGTTATTCGTCAATGCCATAACAGCTAAACAGCATATGTATTTGCAAAAGCCACCAATCTAACAATTTATTATGTGGTTTTCTTATTTAGGTCACTGAAGATACGGCTAAAATCCTGATGGCAGCTGGTTATGATTGTGAATTTCGGGGCCCAACGTACGTTAAAGAAAAAGGCACATTGACAACGTATTTCGTAAGAACACAATACGACCAGAAATCGAAATAATGATTTGTTTTGTGATTTTATGTGAACGTGAACAATTTAAACATCTACTAAAATTGTACAATAGATTTTTCGTTCACATTTTCCTAGTCCATAGACCATGGATTCGAGTCAATTAGATAATGATACGTTCATTATATTAATGATTAAAATATTATATTTATATATGGACATATGGTACCTATTGTTATTAATAATAATATATAGAATACAGTCTTTAATATAGTACCTACCTATATTGTATTATATTATTATATTGTTAAATTATACAACAATATTGTGTACCTATGTATGATATTATTGATATTGTTTTAATATTTTAGAATATAATTTATATCTAACCATTAAAAATTGTACTTAAATTAACCAAATTTACTTGTTCACCAAACAAATGAAATTGTTATTTTAGTTATAAATTTGTGTTGTTAATATGTTGAACTATTTAAGTCGTATCCATTCATAATTGTTTAACATAATACTTATATAGGTACCTATATTATATTATAGTACATGTATCATGTATGTGTTATAAAATGTCAAAGTATCATAATATACACTCTTAGATATTTGAAAAACAAAGAATAATAATTCTGGTATAGTAAAAATAATTAACAATATTTCAATATCTATCGTTTTGCCAAAGTCCGAAAACTTACACTAATACTCATTGAATGAGATGTTTTATATAAAAATTGATAGTAAAAAGTGTAAACTGTAAAATGTGCTCTATATTATAGTCATGCATACATATCAGTAAATACATTTTTACAGTTTTAGTCCAACTTCTGCTACTATTATTCAACAATGGTCCAAGTTATAGCTAGGATCAAGACGCAACCATAGGTGCATTATTTGAAAATATGGTTTGAAATGAAATAGTAGGACAGTCAGTATGTAGGTACACAACATTTATACAGTAGGTGTGTACACAACGCATTTATATGATTAATTGATATTTACAAAGACAAATAGTTTCAATTTATGTTTTATGTCGCAATTAATCCATAATACAATAACAAATTTATGTAGTTTGTGGCTGTATACACTCACGATCCAAACAATTGTAGCAAGGTAATATTATGTATAATTATTTTGGCATTTATTATCAGTGAATTAATATCAAACTAAAATATAAGGTGACAATCCAGTGTTTTTAGAATTTTAAATACAGTATGATGTTGTTAATATTATACACATTAATTTGTTTGTTTTATAGTAGTATATCAGTGACCAATAAGACAGATATGATTATCGAAATTAAAAGGATTTCTCATCAAAATTTTTGGATAGAGAATTTTATGACTCAAAAGATTCTAATTGAAAATGAAGTTGTGACTTTAAAAGAAGCTTTAAAAGTAATAAGTGATTATAGTTTTGAGTATTCGACTGAATTAGACATGAATGTTGTGTTAAAAGCTGCAAAAGCTCTTTCCACAGCTCAGAAATGTAAATATTCAGACTTAATTATCCATACATTTCGTATTTTTTTTAATATATTTTCATCATGTCGAAAACTATCCATTGATAATTTAAAAAATGATAATGTACCGCTGTCAAATACAATAAAAACCTCTTTATATAATATTATAAAACTCACCATTGAACTCAAAACATATACTACAAGATTTATATTTAATATATACCATTTTATGAATTTAATTCCGACTTTAAAGTCTACTGATCACACATTAATAAAATCTTTATTATCCATTAATTTAAATTTAGATCGCATTAAAAGCTATATAGATCAACATCAGGACGAAGCAAGTGAATTTGATTTATTACACTTTGTCCAAAAAGTAATTGCTCAAATGATAAACGTAGTTGAACGCTTTAGGTGTAAACAATGTTATATTGAAAATTACTATGATTTAATTTCGTTAGTAAATAATAAAATAACTTGTATAAAACTAAACAATACAGATAATAACAGTGTTGGTCGTTCAATTGAAGAATCAATCGATAATTTAAAAAAGTTTTTTCATGATCCAAGTTATTTGATTAATGATATTCCGTTTTCTGTGTATATGTACGATCAAAAATACATGTTATTAGAAGATATATTTGAAATTAAAATAGACACATCTTTCATTATTCCCGATTTAATTGTTGAATGGAAGAATTCTACCAAATGGCCAACATTAGGCAATGTATTAAAGGAAGTTAAAAGTACTTACAGTCTTCAAAATATATTTGAATATCAAGTATTTTTAATTGAAGTAATAAAAAGTGCTTTTTACATAAAATATATGAAAAAAGAGCTAATAACCTCAACTGTAGACATTGAAAAATCATTAAACGAATTTGATGCATTTATTAATAAAATGATACCCAAAAATTATCCTACAGACCTGTATGGTTTGATTAAAAAATTAAGAAACTCACTATATAACTATCTAGAATTGTCCAAATCTACTTCAGTGTTACCTCTTTCCATTTTTTCCGTCCAACAATTACGTAAAGTTCTGATTAACACATCATGGGTCCACAATGAAAATTGTGAAGAATCTAATATAAATACAACTATAGAAAGTCTACCGATGAATGAACTAGTGTCAAGAATTGTTAAACTGGATAATTTCAAAGTATTTATTCAAATTTTTGAAGAGCTCTCCTATGAATCAAACACGCTAAGTGATTATGATATACAAACAGTAAGTAATTTAAAACCTATCAAAAAGAGTGATAATATACCAGCATATTGCAAACATTTTTCATTCCTCCGAGAAAAATTACTGTTATTTCAAATATTAATTGTTGGCTTTCAGCAAGCTTGTGATAGTCAAGAAGAAGTTGATGATTCAGATGTCAAAAAAGCAAAGCTGTTTATTTTTGAAATTCTAATGAATTTATTCCAAACGTATACAAATTACGAGAAATTTAAAAAGATTATTTTACCTTTAACGATTTACTTTAAGTATAATGATGAAACAAACGAGAATTTAAAAATATTGCTTCAAGTTTTATTTTTGAATATTAATATTATAGAACATTTTGAATTAAATCATTGCGACTTAGTGGAATACAGTATTGATGTGTATTATAATAAAATAGAGTTTGTTTTTGGACATTTTACTCATAATTTTTTAGAACAAGAGAGATGCAAATTGGATAAGTTATTGTGGGATAATAAAAATGAAATAATGAAAAATATGATAAATACAAGTTATTATCATATAAAGGACGAACGAAGAGATATTCATTTAATGGCCGTTGATCAATTTATACGAACTGTAGATTTTATTAGTAATAATATCAGTGATAATCCCGATCAAGATGTTTCCGTTCGCGTTTTTCTCTGGGATGGGTCAATGGAAAGTGTTGAATCTGTTTATTCAGCTATAACACGATGTGTAATCGATTATCAGTATTTAGTCAGACATCAGTGTTCCATAATTAAATGGTTTGTGTCACTAGTTGTAGAATATTTTTTAAAAATTAATCAAATATATATTAATTTAAAGAAACAAAATAAATATACACAGGCGATTGAGTTTGAAAATAAAAGAACCAAAAAATATCTAACAGAATTTGAAGAAATTCCTTTTTCCAAGTCTATAAACATTTATCTACATAATATTTTGAATTTTTTCGAAAAATCATTCGACGATTTCATGGACAAAAATACTGAAAGGTCAATGTTATTGGTGAATATTGATCAGTTTACATTAAGTCAACCATCATACGAAGAAAATTCAACCTCGTTAGTAGAGTTGAAAAATATGAATAAAATAATTAACAATAATATCCTTTTTTTACACAATGTAGTACAAAACTTAAATGATAATAAATATATTTCTACAGATGTACAATTTTCCACATGTATTTATGTATGAAATGGTTCGTTACTGATGAGATATATTATGTAATTTATTGTAATCATAGTAAGCTATACCTACCTACTATTCAAACATGAATAGTTTTCATTATTTTTAAACTTTTAAATAAAGAATTGTTTGTATATATACATTTTTAATTCAATAACATATAGTCATAAATAAATCAAAATAATCTGTACTTCTTTATTCTTTGTTTTTCTTATTTGTTATTGTTATAATATAATTTTTATTTTTATTTTTACAAGAAATATACAATCTATACATCTATAAGTATGTGTGAGATTAGAAAAAAAAACATTATGAGGTTACGTGAATAAGGAGCCACCTATAGTAGCACTTAGCTTGGAAGTTGCGTTGTTATCGGATTAAGTTAAATGATCTGTACACCATTTTCTTTTAAGTCTAAGACGGGGATTTCCAGGAAGTGACGGAATATGTAATCCTTTTTATTAAAGGATTTTTATGGTTTTTTAGTTTAATATAAAAATATTTATAGAAAACAGCAGCTTTTTCTTCTACTGTTTTTACACCTAGGTCTTTGTGTAGGGTCAGGTTTCAGAGATAGGGTGGAGCGTTGGTGATTTTTCGAAGTGTGATATTTTGGAATGCCTGAATTTTATTTAAATTTAATTTTTCGCAGAACCCCATAGTTGGATTCCATAAGTCCATAAGTCCATATGGGTTTCAGAAGAGATTTATATATTTGTGATTTAGTTTTTAGGGTTGAGAGCTTATTTTTGAGAGTAATACTTTTAAAGATCGGGAGCGGGCATCAAGTATTAATCTTTTTTTTCTTATATGATTTTGCTGAGTTAGTCTTTTATCGAGGTTCAGACCTAAGTATTTAACAGTATCAAGAGAAGGGATAGGTAGATTATTAACAGTTATGTCAGGGCACAGTCCGTGTCTTAGGGTGAACGTAGCATGAACGGATTTATTATTGTTCAGTTTTATTTTATTTATTTATTTATTTAATTTTAGTTACAAGACAAATACATGATATAACAAAGACAAATATTAACTAGACGTTACTCTACACTGAGGTAGAACCTCGTGTCGTAGAGTAAGAGTACATTTTTTTTTTTTTTTAGTAGCCGTGATAATAATGAAAGATAATAGAGACCTCATATACCTAGTTATTTTGTTGTGATTGTATAATATTATTCGTGGGTAGGTACTTGAAACTTCTAAAGTATACTACTATATATCTATGATAGTAATATAGCATCACGGTTTGTTATTGATGTAAAACGCATTATAAGTACCTAATGGATATTGTGATATGATTAATTTGGAATTTATTATAGGTACAATTTTTTTTTTAATACCATAGGTAAGTATATAATATGTCTTATACCTAGACTGACATACCGTCTCCGCTCAGAATCGTTTTTCTTATACAATGATATTATATCATTGAATTCAAATTTAATACCATCCATTATACAGTGACCCACTTGTAACCTACTGTACAGCAGAGCACCTTTTTAAAAATGAACATTTAAAGTTTTATAACAATGGGAATGCGTATTCATGTTTTTAATAATATTTTATTTTTATTTTATTATTAAGATAAAATATACTACATTTTAGGTAATAAGTAATTACTAATAACTAATGTGTAATAAGTTATAGTTATAAAACTAAAATATATCTTGTAATTTTTCGATTAAATTATTATCATTAATGACTTTCAAAATACCCTTTATATTTTGAATGGTTTGATGCAACAAATATGAAAGAGTATGTATTGAATATGGTGTACTTTTTGTTTTATAATATTCTTCAGGATACTCTTTTGTTGACATACTAAGTATTTTAAGTTGTTGACGTATTCTATCTTTACATTCTTGCTTAATTTGTGCATCTTGGTTTTGTAATGCCATCAAGTATAGATATAAAGTAATCTGTATATATGATCTTATAAGTTCTGGGAAAGGAAGATTTTCAAATAGTCTTATTCTATTTAAGATGGTTTTTAAATTATGATCATCATTATGAAAACCGATTTCATTCATTTTTAAAATAATCACAAATAATTGTTCAAAAACTCTTGTAATAATCCATTTAATTTCAAACATTTGAAACCTAACTAATTGCTGATAATCCACCATTGTATTAGATTTCATAGAAATGTTGTTATATACTTCATTAATAGACGTTTTGAAACCATCCCATATGACATATTTTATAATATCATCATTACCATATACTTTAGCGATGGTACTACAAATAGGTTTGGTCTCTGGAATGAATTCTTTAACACTTGTTGAATAAACTGCTTTTTGGTTCTCATTAACCTGATGTGTTTTTATTCTCTCACTTAAATTCTTCGATAGTTCATTTTTGTATCCAATCAATGAGAATGAATAAAATGGTTGGCTTTCCTTGCCACGATTGATATGTGCACCCTTAACTTCACTTACTATTTCCCTGTTAAATTTCAACAACAAACAGTTATTTAATTCATAATGTTCAAGTAAGTTTAAAGCTAAAATCATATTTTGTCTTAAATTAAAAATATAAACATAAATAGTTACATTATCATTCTCCAATTTGGCAAAATTGATTACTAATGGAAATAACATTCGATTGAGTCGATCATTATATAAAAACGTTTTATAAAACCACAATATATTTTTGTGCATACTCTCAATTATGAGTAAATCACTTGGTTTTATAACATTTAACACTAAGTCAACATTAATTTGCAGAATAATATCAAGCCATTCTTGAAATGAGACAAAATTATAACGAAGTTGTTCAAAACTCTTATTACATACTATTCCATTACTGGTATATTCAGTTTTTTTAATGGAACTCCCATGATTTAAATAATAATCTCCTAGAGTATATGATTCATTTGAGAACAGTTCAAAAATCTGAATGAAATGGGCAAAAAATTGAAGTTTTGTAATATCCTCTATAAATTCCGACATCTCTACATTATCTAGTTTTTCAACTATATCACTTGATTCGCCCCATGATTTTATAACCGGGGTTTCAACTAATTGTATCACAGTACTATCCGAAAAAACTTTGCCATTATTATGCTTACCTTGGTGAACATCATAATAAATTGAATTTCTTACTCTTATAATGGGACTATATACGTTTGTTGGATAATTATTTGGTATTATTTTATCAATGAATTTATCAAACTCTCGAAGTAATAATTTAACTTCTTCAGAATTATTACCATTATAATTTTTTATATGGATATTGATAAATTTTATATAATAAATATATTTAATTACTTCAATTAGTAATATTTGATAATCGAATATTATTTTAATATCATCGGTATTTTTAACTTTATTATAAATATTTATTAGTTGATCCCAATCATCAAAGTCTTGCCATTTTACTTGAAGAGTAGGAAAAAATGAATATTTTCCATTGATGCTGAATAAAATATCTTTGAACAATAAATAGTTCAGATCATAAATATTATATTTTTCTTCTATAGGAATACTTATTGTAATATCGTCTTCATAATTTATTGATACATACTTATAAAAATTTATTAAATTGTGATTAATAGTGGTATTTATTAAAAAATTGTAGACTTCCTCGTATACATTAATATTGTTTGAAACTAAATCTTTAATGTTTCTATCTAAATGTTCATAAAACTTATATGCATTCTGAATATAACAATGTTTACTGCTATATCGTTCAACCAAGTTAATCATTTGAGCAAGTCCTATTTTTATATTAATTTCGGAGTTTGTATCTGATTTATCATATTTTTTATCGCCTTTTTCTTTTGAGAACTCATCTGGTTTATATTTTGTTACATATGTTATCGTATGATATAAAAATAAATTTATGGAAATTAAGGATTTTAATAAAGTGTCATCAGTATATCTTAAGTTTGGATGTATCTTCTTAAATTGCATTAAATCAATTATCATTTTTACAATATACATTTTTAATGTAGAGACAATTCTAATAATACTTGCAACACATTGCTGTCTATTTTTAGAAAAATTTGAATGTTCATCTTTGTATTCATTAACTTCAGTTAGGTTATAACATACATTTACACAGTCCAACAAATAAGTAAATGTACTAATAATTAAATCAGAATACTTACACTTTAAATCCATGTACACAGACGTGATAATTTGAATCTTAATACTGTTCAATTTATCGACCTTCTCTAAGTTATTACCATCATCAGATAATGTAGTGGATATAGTGTTGTATTGTTTATATAGTTCATCGTAATTCACAGTTTTTAATTCATTATCTATAATAATTTGTCCGGATAATATATTTTTCTTCCAAAAATGACTAGTACAAAAATATTTTATTGCAGATATATTTTTTTTATCAATAAAGATTGATTTAAATTCTTTGGTCTCACTGTAAACACCCCAAAAAATAAAATAAATTAAAAACTTCATTTTGTACGTTAAATATTTTTTATAACTATTTGAATATTATATATTGCCGATTTTAATTAATGTAACGTTTTATAATGATGTATCCCCAATATTAAGTTGTGTATTAAACTTATATGTTCATACTAAAAAATATAAAATGTGGTTGACTCATTCTCTCTCTCTCATTCGTTGTCTTTTTCTCTCTTTATTATAACCTATACCTACTTATAACCATTTGGTTTGTTCAGTAAAATATTTCGAATACACCTGTTGTCAGACGTTTACAGTACCTATGTGGCTATGTATTATATAACAGTTGTTTTGGTTAAATATTTGAGAAATACCGAATACTATACATGTTTTAACTTTTAGTTAACTAGATCTTAATGTTCAACTATTACCGTTCAAAAACATCTTCGAAGTAAAATGATTTTAATTTAATTGAGAACGGAACTCAACTTAATTTAAATACAACTATCTTTCTTTAATAATAAAATTAATTTCTTATTCAATAGCTTACATATTCAAATCAATGTAAAAAAAAAACTTTTGTTGTTACAGTTTCGAAATAAATAGGTATGTTTAAAATGGGTGTTTTATTATAAAAATAACCAACCTATTACAATATAATATTGCTTTGATTTTATTTGATGTCTATATTTATGTGCCAAATATTTTGTAATTTTATATCCAAAGCTTTAATAATTAATTAATTTAAAAAAAAAATAATTTAATAGAAACAAACATTTAGCATTAACTAATATTTTGTAAATTAAATTTAAAAAAAAATCTAACAAAATGGCCAGGCCACCAGGCCATAGTATGGTCCAGGCCATCTGGAAAATTCCCATTTCCAGACCGGCCACTCCACCACTGTATAAATGGATATATTATATTAATTATTTATAAATTTCAACAACGTTATTTTGTTACGAGTTATCTGATGCAAATTACAGTTATAGTGTGTGATGTGTAGTGCAGTGTACTAATGTATAATGAAATAAAACATTTATATTATAATATTATATAATAATGAATAACGTATATATATATATACTTTATAGATTATAGGTATTATATAGGTAGTTTAAAACGTATATACCATTATGAAGTAACATTAACATAAATGTAAATGTAAGCCTTTTACCATTAGTACTATTATTATTAAAATAAATAATTTACAAATATTCAGCGGATTGCAGATAGTCAGCGGAATAAACAAGTAAAAAATTGCGGAAGTGTCGATAGCCACCCTAATCAACATGTACAAAAGTTCGACGGAGTTCGACACACCGCAATCGATAGATTTCTTATGTAGGTAAAAAGGTAATTTCGCCCTAATTTAAATAGGTCCGTGTATATGTGTATTTACAAAGGTTATTTACATAGTGTTTACCGACCACCGCATGGTAAACAAAAATTATTTGGTCAATACACATGGTCGACACACAATGTAAATTATTAAAATGTATTAAATTTGGTTTTCAGCATTATATTATATTTTATACAGTTTAGACTTAAAAATTGGTATAACTATTGCGCGTAAACATTTTGATTTAGCTGAATTTTTTTTTCGTTTTTGCCGAAGCTTCCAAAACCACTTGCAAATTTTACATCTTTAGTGCACCAACAAGATTCACTTTTTTATCAGAAAAGATGCTAAAGTCGTAAATTGGAGCATTTTTTCTACTCCAAAAGTCTATGATGGACAAATAAAAAAAGGTGGGGAAGTGGATGTCACTCTGCTGTACAGTAGGTTACAAGTGGGTCACTGTATAATGGATGCTATTAAATTTGAATTCAATGATATAATATCATTGTATAAGAAAAACGATTCTGAGCGAAGACGGTATGTCAGTCTATAGGTTTAAGACAAATTATATACATATCTATGGTATTAAAAAAAAATTGACCTATAATAAATTCCAAATTAATCATATCACATTACCACAATATCCATTAGGTACTTATAACACGTTATACATCAACATCAATAACAAACCCTGATACTATCATAGTTGTATAATAGTACACTTTAGAAGTTTCAAGTAGGTACCCACGAATAATATTATATAATCACAACAAAATAACTAGGTTTTTTAATATGTAATTTCGTCCAAATTTGAACATAAAATGACTATAAAAATAAACTGTGATTGTATATTTTTTAGATTTTTCGGTAAGAGAATTGTCAACTTACGTGGAATCTTGTTTTAAATTTTCAATCCTTAGCTATAAAAACTGAACATTTTATAATTTATTAATTACGATGATTAATAATTTTCGAGATTTTGAAAAATTCTGTCAAAATTCGATGTTAAAATGCTTATAAAAAAAAATTGTGCCTATGTATTTTTAATATTTTTCAACTGATATTGTAACAATATATCAGGAGCCTTGTATTAAATATTTACACTTTTTGGCCCAACAGATAAAACTTAATTGATATTTATAGAAAAAAAAAACTAAAAAAATTGAAAACTGAAAATGTCCGTAAACGGCTCAAAAAGAGTCAAAATATTTTCAAAATTGTATGGTGTATAGGAAATGCTAATATAAACATTCAGTGAAATTTTCATGTATCTAAAGTAATTCGTTTTTTAATTACAACAAAAAAAGGAAATTGCCACATGAGAAATCGAGTGAATATCCAATGTTGTAAAAATTTGAATTTCAAACGCTCATAAAAATTTAATTTGACTTTCCGGTAGAGATTTTTTTATTTATAAAGGTAGACAATCTTATGAGTAATCTTGTATTAGATTTTCAAATCTTAGATTTAAAAAGAAAAATTTTTACGAATTCTTAACTCAAAATAATTTGCTAATTTTCGTGATTTTTCCATATTTTGTCAATTTTTGAACTTTAAATGCTTATAAAAAAAAAAATTTGGTTAAGGATTTTTAATATTTTTCATCTGCCTTTGAAACAATATATTAGGAGCCTTCTATTAAATTTTCAAGCTTTCGCAACCAACAAATAAAATTTTATTGATATTTCTAGAAAAAAAACTAAAAAAAAAACTAAAAATGAAAATGTCCCTAAACTGTTCAAAATAAATCAAAATATTTTGAAAATGTTATCGTGTATAGAAGATGCAAATATAAACAACCAGTGAAAATTGCATGTACCTACGGTCATTTGTTTTAAAGTTACACCAAAAACCAAATTCAATTTTCTGAAAAATCGATTTTGCGTAAAAATTCCCGTTTTTCCTTAATTTTTCTTTTGTTTTTCTTGGCGCTTTTGAAAAGTACTGGGAATTTTAAATTTTGACCTCCCCAATGCACCAACGATATTCACTTTCCAATCGAACAAGATACTGAAGTCGAAAATCGAAGCATTATTTCGACTACTTATCGTGTACACAGATACAAAAAAAATAAAAATAAATAAATAAACACACATCATTGTAAAATCAATACATTCATCGTTCCACTCAGAATCTAAAAACACGCCATTGTGTTATAATATGTTAAACCAATAATCCATTTGTCGCTATGCTAAAAATCTGAAATGTACAACTGACCTTTCATATATGATATTACACATCCACAATCTGACCTTCCACTCATCCAAATATCGGAAAATGTTACCATTAATGAAGTGGGCAATCATTTATATGGATATACTACCATTCCCATTGTTGGTGGGACAGTACTGGTACCTTAAACTTTTTAGTTTAGTTTTTCGATTCACTCAAAAATACATCATCATAAAATTCAAAAACAAGTAAAATATATAATATATATATAATATATATATTACATATTATGTAATTGACAGAGACAGGTCTCATCACTTCCTGAGGTAGAAGAAAATTAACATTTTCATAATTTTATTTTTCAATATCTACATCTCAAATTAAAATACTTACAGAAATACCTTCTCCTTAAAATGTAAGTAACTTAAACGGTGCTTGAAAAAATATTTCCAATCCCTTTCATAGTTAAAAACTTAGAACTAACATTTTCGAATTTTTTTTTGTATTTTCAAAAATGTTACTTGGTAGCCTTAACTTCGTAGCTTATAGTTTTGAAATTCCCTCGGAACTCCTTCCATCGCCAAATTCAAAAACAAGTAAAATATGTATGGAATTGGCCAGCAATAGGTGCAAAAATTCACCTGAGTTCGTGGTGACGTATTATTGTACATTTAAATGCAATGCTTAATATTTATGTTCGTAAAATGTGGAGCCAGGCTATAGACTAGTCTGAAGAAATATTAGCAGGGCTTAAAGTGGGAAAAAATTCCAGAGGGGACTTATTTCTCCATATAATATAATGTCTAATGTATAAAATCCTAATTTGTTAAAGGGGACTCTTTTTAACTGCCTTCAGAAGTAGGCGGACTGAGTCCCCTGCGTCCATTCATTTTAACCCCTGAGTATTAGGTATCTAGGAATATTTAAACATTTTAATTTACTCAACAAAAATTGAATGACTATAGATTTTGAATATGAAGGTAGCTTAATGTAAATAATGACTAATGCATGTAAGTTCCTATGACTAATGAATAAATAAACACATAACCTTGTATTAAAACGTCAAGCCTTGCCTGATATCTAATGTGAAAAATATTATCACTATTGCCTATTGGTTTGTACTGGTTGAATAAACAATAGATATAGTATAATTTTTTTCTTAATTAATACAGTGTTTAAATAGAGTAAAAAGGCACCTAGGTGCATTATTAAAAAATATTTGTTTTCCTAAAATAAACAAATTTTGAGTTAAAGAGGGTTTTATGTTAAAGTGTTATCCAACAAGCTTTCTTATGTTGCAACTTACAATATATTTTATGGTGTGACCTTGAAATATAACAGGTATTTAATAAATATTGTTATAACTATAAGTTATAACAATATTTAATTAATTATTGTGAATAGTTCCTCGTTATATTACGTAGAATGTGGTTAATTTTTATTTAAAAAATATTGAAACACCGATAAAGTCATAGGTACTAAAAATGTACGAATACTGTTATTCATAATATAATGTTTTGTTTCTAAATAGACTTAA